ATAAATAGGCGTAGTTAAGAATTGAAAATGGAGCCGTTTTACAAAGGGTAGACTATAAGTCACGTTAGCATATAGTTAAGAATTGAAAATAGAGCCGTTTAAAAAAATACACTATAAGTCACAATAGCACATAGTTAAGAATTGATAATAGAGTAGTTTAAAAGTCAATTCATATACATACATATCCTGTTCTGCTGAAACAACTAACGTTACATGTTTGCATTTCAAAGATTTTAAAAGAATTTACCTGGTCAATACTAGTAAGTCTAACACAGTGATGACTGAACTGTGATGACTGGATGATGTTTATGTAGGCATAGGAACCCGGCCATTCGAGGCATGACAGCACAGTTCTTGGGACAATTGACCGAGACGATGGGTGCTGCTAAAGTGCTGAATGGACAGAAAGATGTCACTGACAAGATGCTCATTGCTGCGCAAGCATTTGTTGCTGATGGATCGCAGGAACCTAGGTGGGTGCCAAGTTCATTTCCCTAAGCGTATATTTGATTTTTTTTATTATACGCATATGTACCTGCGCTGATTTTCTATCTGTTTGCCAATCTACAGGAAAAGTGTGATATCACAAAGATTGAAACACTGCAATCTTCGTAGTAATGTTATGAACATAAGTATCGGGTGGTGCATGATTGTTTGTGTGTTGTCTTGCAGAGTTTACGGGAAAAAGATTTTCTCCCTTTTGATGGACCATCCAGATTTTGAGAAGTGTCTCACTAAATACCTGACCCCATCGCAATTAAGTAATATTCAGCCTGCACTGGATCGCATCAAGCTTAAGGTATGCTAGTGAAGTAGTGTTTACACAAGATACGACATTTTCAGAGTGTCCAACCTGTAGACTTAAGAAATTAGGATTTTCATTAGGGGGAGGGGGTGTCTGGGGCATGTCCCCCTCCCCGGAATTTTTAAATTAGGATCCGGGAACGTAATCGTTTTTGTGTTTGTATAAAATAAACGTCAATACTTTACTAGAAATCAAACGACATTTATTTCACAACACCATCGTTGATATGACAGCAACTAATGTTTGAATTGGTTTGTATTAGTTATAAGTTAGTATGTAAAGTTCGCTCAGGCTCGAAATGCATGCAGGGAAGGCAACGGAGCGTTCAGAATCGATTTTATTGCTAACAATCGTGAGAAATTAAGTGGAAAATATTTCTTGACTTTTTTTCCCGAGATAGTGCGTGCAAAATATCGAAAATCAGGATTTTCCTTATCCCGACGGAGGAATTTCGAGCAAACTCGGGATAATCCCAACGAAATCGGGGATGGTTGGACACCCTGCATTTTCTCAGTATTTTAATCCTTTGTCGTGTTCCAACTTATCTTTTAATTATATTAATGGTCCATGCACTTATATTAGCTTCTATTATTAAGCTGTCACATTGAGAAAGTATATCACAACTGTTATATTGATTTATACGCTGATTTCAATGCTAATATATGATGTGCTGTATGCTCATTTGCAGGGTTATAGCCTAGAAAGCCATGGATCCTCCTCTATAGCAAGTTCGAGGGCATCGTCCGGCCGAGACAGCCACCCTAGCGGAAAGTAAGCCAGTAAACCTTTTCCCTAGATGAGACTAAATTCGCGTTGCAGTAGTTTATGCAGAATCTTGTGATGAGATTTCGTAGAAATTACTGCATTCATTTGTTGATACATCGCGATATGTTGTCTCTGCTCAAAATTGTTTCAGGCATTCATATGTCGAGCATGAATTGTAATTACTGAATGTGGTAAACACATATAGTTCAAGATACACATCAATCAAGACAACATGAATATTTTTTGCCAGTTGAGCGTGTTCACAGATCTAGCTTAGCATAGTGCGCCTCTACGTACTTGCTACATGCTTTCACCCTCAGATCGCTTTCACACGAACATCTATCGTGGCCACACTCAATCTGACGTGTTTCGATCGTTCTCTCAGGGGCACGTTAGCGCGGGGCACCAACAGCAGCGTGCGGCCCACGGGAAGCCTGAAGAAGAGGCCAGGCAAGGGGAAGCCTCAGAGCGCCAACGTGACGGCAGAGCTGAAGCAGCTGTTGGGGGCGAGCGACTGGAAGCAGCGATACGAGGGGCTCGAGAAGCTGCAGGAGATGACAGCGATGAACTCGGGCGCGGTGATCGGTGACATCATGCAGGTGAGCGGTGGTGACGCGCAGGTGATGTGCGTGCGTGCATGTGTACGTGCGTGTGTGTTTGCATTCGTGTGCCTGTGTGCATGTGTGCATGATTGTATGTGCATGTGTGTATATATTTGTATGCACGTGTGCATGCAGGTGTGTGCGTGCTTGCATGATTGTATGTGCGTGCGTGTGTGTATTTATATGCACATGTACATGCAGGTGTGTGCATGCATGTGCGACTGTGCATGCGTATGTGTGCATGCATGTGCGACTGTGCATGCGTATGTGTGCATACGTGCGTGTTTGCGTGCGTGTGCATGTGTGCATGATTGTATGTGAATGGATTCATGTTCAAGTTGTGTCTGTGTGTGTGTGCTGGGAGCAGAAGCGCTTGGATCTAGCCTGGGTATCTGTACATGGATGTATTCGTGTTCATGTTGTAGGGATGTGTGTGTGTGCAGGGAACAGAAGCGGGATGGGAGTAGATCTAGCCTAGGCATATGTACATGGATTCATATTATTCACGTTGTACGTCTATACATGTGTGCAGGGAGCAGAAGAGGGACGGCATCAGCTACTTGCGCCGGCTCGTCGCGCATCACACCGACACCGTGCTGCATCAGCTACACGCCGTCAACGTCGCCATGATGGCCGAGATCAAGAACCTACGCTCGCAGGTGTCCACCGCTGCCATGGTCTGCATGAGACACATGTTCATACACCTGCAAAAGAACATGGACACGGTACGTCGTCGCTGCTGCTGCCTACAGACGCAGGCCGGCCTGCAGACATGAGTCGCAAGGCAGCCAGCATCTGTACGAGTGTAGTAGACACGAGTGGCAAGGTAGCCAGCATTCTAAGGCCCATGTCATTGTAGTAGATATGAGACTAGTACGGTAAGTACTATAGCAAGCCAGTGTGAAGACAGTAGATTCGAGAGTATCACAGTCACAGTAGACAGGGTCAAGACCCCAGCGTGATGGCAGTAGACCTGAGACTAGTATGGTAGGTAATATCGCAAACCCACGTGATGGCAGTAGACCTGAGACTAGTACAGCAGGAAATATCGCAAACCCACGTGATGGCAGTAGACCTGAGACTAGTACAGCAGGTAATATCGCAAACCCACGTGATGGCAGTAGACCTGAGACTAGTATGATAGGTAATATCGCAAACCCACGTGATGGCAGTAGACCTGAGACAGTGAGACTAGTAGGGTAGGTAATATCGCAAACCCACGTGGTGGCAGTAGACCTGAGACTAGTACAGCAGGAAACATCGCAAACCCACGTGATGGCAGTAGACCTGAGACTAGTACAGCAGCAAATATCGCAAACCCACGTGAGGCCAGTAGACCTGAGACTAGTATGGTAGGTAATATCGCAAACCCACGTGATGGCAGTAGACATGAGGCAGTGAGACTAGTAGGGTAGGTAATATCGCAAACCCGTGTGAGTGCACTAGACACGAATCTAGTACAGTAGTCAGTGTAACCAAGTTTCGTGTGAGTGCAGTAGAGCATAGTAGATGGCATCTGCAGTGTATGGTTGCGATCAAGATGCACTGTTTACCTGGTTTCACCTGTCTGTCTTGATCGTGTGCTTACTATCGGTGATCTGATGGTGGATCAAGGTGGAAAGGATCCTTTAAATCATGTGAAGAGCGTTCGGCTCTGTGGTGGCCATTTTGTAGCTCGCCTTGACATCGTCAAGATGAGCTATTGCCATGCGGTGTCGTCCGTCGTACGTCCGTCCGTCCGTCCGTCCGTCCGTCAACATTTGGCTACGGTCAACGATAACTCAAGAACCGTTTGACCCACATGTTTCAAATTACATATAGTCGTTACTCCTATGGGAGAGATTTGAACTTCCTATTTTGGAGCACGCCAGTCGACCTACTTTCGAGCCACGCCCATTTTTTGGCAAAAATGAAAATGGCCATCTAAATTCATTTGATTTTGTTAAATTTTGGTATGTGAATGTGTAAGGCAAAACAGTTGTTGAGTCGTTGACAACGTCCTATTACGTTTATTTCGTCTAACTGGTCAACAAATCTACAATCATACCTATATACGTGTAATATTGTGTTTTAGATTCTTCATTACAGTAATTTGACTGGAATATTTTATTGTTTTTATTTGAGCGATATTCGAAAACCAAAATGGCGATCATTTAGGCGTAGTGCCATTTCTCGTCAAGATTTCCGACTTTCAGATCTGAAACATTTATTTTTGCATCAAAACTTATGCATATATCATTATCAAGAGTATATAATGGGAGATATGCTATATAATGGGAGTTCTCTCATATATACTCTTGCTTTATATATCCCTCCTCCATCTTCTATGACACCCAAGGTGAGCTACAGTGTCATTGACACTTTCATTTAATGTAGGTGTTGCAAATGAAAAGTGAATTTGCCATACCATAAGAAATAAGGTTTGCCGAATGCAAAAATGAAACGTACTGTTTAAGCAAGATTATTCAAAACGTGCATTTTGACTACTGCCAAATAATGCTTACGAATGCATAGACTTAGTAGTGTGATGCCTTCCATGTGCCTACTATGCATACTAATACTCATGCATACATACTTGTTTAACAAAAACAATCACTCTAGTCTACATCAGTGTCTAAGCATAACTAAATCACTGCGAGTAATTGGCTCTGGTGTGCTCGGCGGTGGATGTGCAGTAGCTTTACAACCGCTATTTCTATTCTTGCGACTCGCTGTATCACATTTCAGTTTTCACTGTTTCAGGGGGTTAACTGATTACATGTGGGGTTTCTTGTCTGTAGGATGTGGAAGTAATCACGAAGATTCTGCTGCACAAGACTGGTGAGAGTAACACGTTTATCAGGGAGGCAGCAGAGAGAGCCCTCTCTGCCATGGTGGAGAACGTCACTCATCAGAAGGCACTGCTAGCACTCGTGCTCGCTGGTCAAACGTAAGTCACGCTGTTGAATCGTCAAGAGCATTAACGGTTAACCCGGTTTTTATGCGAACATCACATTTATTCGATTCTCGGATATCCGAACAAGATTCTCAAGGTCCGGGCTGTGAATATTTAACGGTAATACGATCAGATCAGTTATCTGAACAATCAGTTATCCGAACACAATACTCCCCGCCCGTCTCGTTCGGATAATCGAGGTTTAACTGTACATGGCAAGCGCATTTCGCTATCTTTTTCTAAGGGTTTGGTTTCACGAAATGAATCACAATACCATAATAAATAGCATAGTTAAGAATTGAAAATAGAGCCGTTTAAAAAAATGTACACTATAAGTCACATTAGCACATAGTTAAGAATTGATAATAGAGTAGTTTAAAAGTCAATTCATATACATACATATCCTGTTCTGCTGAAACAAACTAACGTTACATGTTTGCATTTCAAAGATTTTAAAAGAATTTACTGGTCAATACTAGTAAGTCTAACACAGTGATGACTGAACTGTGATGACTGGATGATGTTTATGTAGGCATAGGAACCCGGCCATTCGAGCAGTACAGCACAGTTCTTGGGACAATTGACCGAGACGATGGGTGCTTGTGCTAAAGTGCTGAATGGACAGAAGAGTGTCACTGACAAGATGCTCATTGCTGCGCAAGATTGTTGCCGATGGACTCGCAGGAACCTAGGTGGGTGCCAAGTTCATTTCCCTAAGCGTATATTTGATTTTTTTTATATACGCATATGTACCTGCGCTGATTTTCTATCTGTTTGCCAATCTACAGGAAAAGTGTGATATCACAAAGATTGAAACACTGCAATCTTCGTAGTAATGTTATGAACATAAGTATCGGGTGTGCATGATTGTTTGTGTGTTGTCTTGCAGAGTTTACGGGAAAAAGATTTTCTCCCTTTTGATGGACATCCAGATTTTGAGAAGTGTCTCACTAAATACCTGACCCCATCGCAATTAAGTAATATTCGCCTGCACTGGATCGCATCAAGCTTAAGGTATGCTAGTGAAGTAGTGTTTACACAAGATACGACATTTTCAGAGTGTCCAACCTGTAGACTTAAGAAATTAGGATTTTCATTAGGGGGAGGGGTGTCTGGGGCATGTCCCCTCCCGAATTTTTAATTAGGATCTGGGAACGTAATCGTTTTGTGTTTGTATAAAATAAACGTCAATACTTACTAGAAATCAAACGACATTTATTTCACAACACCATCGTTGATATGACAGCAACTAATGTTTGAATTGGTTTGTATTAGTTATAAGTTAGTATGTAAAGTTTGCTCAGGCTCGAAATGCATGCAGGGAAGGCAACGGAGCGTTCAGAATCGATTTTATTGCTAACAATCGTGAGAAATTAAGTGGAAAATATTTCTTGACTTTTTTTCACGAGATAGTGCGTGCAAAATATCGAAAATCAGGATTTTCCTTATCCGACGAAGGAATTTCGAGCAAACTCGGGATAATCCCAACGAAATCGGGATGTTGGACCACCCTGCATTTTCTCAGTATTTTAATCCTTTGTCGTGTTCCAACTTATCTTTTAATTATATTAATGGTCCATGCACTTATATTAGCTTCTATTATAAAGCTGTCACATTGAGAAAGTATATCCACACAGTTATATTGATTTATACGCTGATTTCAATGCTAATATATGATGTGCTGTATGCTCATTTGCAGGGTTATAGCTAGAAAGCCATGGATCCTCCTCTATAGGAAGTTCGAGCGCATCGTCCGGCCGAGACAACCACCCTAGCGGAAAGTAAGCCAGTAAACCTTTTCCTTAGATGAGACTAAATTCGCGTTGCAGTAGTTTAAGCAGAATCTTGTGATGAGATTTCGTAGAAATTACTGCATTCATTTGTTGATACATCGCGATATGTTTGTCTCTGCTCAAAATTGTTTCAGGCATTCATATGTCGAGCATGAATTGTAATTACTGAATGTGGTAAACACATATAGTTCAAGATACACATCAATCAAGACAACATGAATATATTTTTGCCAGTTGAGCGTGTTCACAGATCTAGCTATAGCATAGTGCGCCTCTACATACTTTGCTACATGCTTTCACCCTCAGATCGCTTTCACACGAACATCTATCGTGCCACACTCAATCTGACGTGTTTCGATCGTTCTCTCAGGGGCACGTTAGCGCGGGGCACCAACAGCAGCGTGCGCTCACGGGAAGCCTGAAGAATAGGCCAGGCAAGGGAAGCCTCAGAGCGCCAACGTGACGGCAGAGCTGAGCAGCTGCTGGGGGCGAGCGACTGGAAGCAGCGATACGAGGCGCTCGAGAAGCTGCAGGAGATGACAGCGATGAACTCGGGCGGCGTGATCGGTGACATCATGCAGGTGAGCGGTGGTGACGCGCAGGTGAACGGTGACGTCATGCAGGTGATCGGTGACATCATGCAGGTGAGCGGTGGTGACGCGCAGGTGAACGGTGACATCATGCAGGTGAGCGGGGACATCATGCAGGTGAGGCGGTGACGTCGTGTCGGTGAAGGTGACGTCGCGCAGGTGAGCGTGACGTCCGCGCAGGTGACCGGTTGACGTCGCGCAGGTGAGCGGTGACGTCGCGCACGTGAACGGTGACGTCGCGCAGGTGAACGGGTGACATCATGCAGGTGTGCGGTGACGTGTGCAGGTGAAGGTGACGTCGCCGCAGGTGACCGGTGACGTCGCGCAGGTGAGCGTGGACGTCGCGCACTGTGAACGGTGACGTCGCGCAGGTGAACGGTGACATCGTGCAGGTGCCGGTGACGTCGAGCAGCGTGAGCGGTGACGTCATGGCAGTTGAACGGTGACGTCGCGCAGGTGAACGGTGACATGGTGCAGGTGAACGGTGACATCGTGCAGTGTGACCGTGACGTCGCGCAGGTGACCGTGACGTCCGCGCAGGTGAGCGGTGACCGTCGCGGCAGAGTGAGGCGGTGACGTTCGCGCCGCTGAAGAGTGACGCGCGCAGGTGAACGTGACATCGTGCAGGTGACCGGTGACGTCGCGCGGGTGAGGCGTGACGTCATGGCAGGTGAACGGTGACGTCGCGCAGGTGAGCGGTGACGTCGCTCAGGTGAGCGGGTGACCTCATGCAGGTGAGCCAGAGATGTGACAAGATATGACAGCGTTCGCGGCGATGTCTGTCGCTGGTTGACACATGCGCGAGTGGCTGCGTGTAAATACAGGGGCCTGTGATGACTCCGGCCATACTGGTCAGAGATCATAATGCTTTAGGCGTCAAAGTCATGATATCCTAGACGTGCGATGTCGTAACTTTGAGCGTGTTTCTGACAATGAGTATAGTTTCTCAACGTCTGCCCCTGGCCGACCACGTAGCAGTAATGCGTGCGGCTCGGTTAAAATACTGGCCTGTTGTCCAGGGATCAACGACAACGGTGTGTCAAAAGTTATGACATCCTAGACATGCGATCTTCATTTACGATTCTCTGCATGTTTCTGACAATGAGTGTAGTTTTTTCTTATCTTATGCTTCCATTTATTATGTTTTTTCATGGACTACGTTATGGGCTGGGTTATATTGTGTCGACGTTCAGAATGTGTTTACCAAGCATTTGTACACCTCCTGGATGTCCATTCTTAGAAACGACTGCCTGCATTATAATCTCCCCACTGTATAGGGAACACTGTCGAGTAACGACAAGGCTACAAGAAGCTCAGAAACGCCCTCCTGCCCCGAAGAAATCACATTCAGTTAGCCACTGGATAACGATGTCACGCACACGCAATAACGGATGTCGTCGCATACGGTAACGCAATCGCCACTTCGCGCGTAAACTTCACATCTGACGCATATATCGACGCGTTCCTCTCCGGCAGATATTCGCAAGGTTGGTCCTGCGGCTGACGGACACGAACAGCAAGGTGAACCTGCTCGCCCTGCAGGACGATGCGCGACATGGTGCGATCATCGCAAGGCGCTCGATCCCGTGGTCGCGTCATGCATGCCGCGCTCACCAGCAGCATGGCGTCGAAGAACAAGGAGATCGTGAGCACGTCCGTAGAGGTTCTCGATCTCATGATGAGCTACCTCGCGCTGAGTTGTTAGCACAAGCCTAGTTTAGCCTAGCCACCCCCGGGGCGATTAGTTTAGCTGAGAGGGTCTATGTCCCCAGGTACTATCGAGGGTACCCCTGGTACGGTTCGATATACCGGAACGTACCCTGGTACTATCTAATATGCCGACCGTACCTCGCCTACTCCACTAACGAGTCTAGGGAGTTGCCATACGCCTACTCCCTAACCCTAACCCTAACCCTAACCTAACCCTAACCCTAACCCTAACCCTAACCCTAACCCTAACCATATCAGATAGTTACCAGGGTACGTTCCGGTATACCGGACCGTTTTCAGGGTACATTCCGGCAGTACCCAGGGAGACATAGACCCTATCAGCGTTAGCACAAGCCAAGTTTAACCACCCCCGGGGGATTAGTTTAGCGTGTGTGCGAAAACACGTTTGCTGGGGGTACCAAACTATCCTTGTGCGGTGAGTATTCCTTTCCGACATTGTCCGTCACTCGGAGTTTTGCGTTTTCCGATGCAGACGAATTCGGCTGATAGCGTGTCATGCCGTGTAGGTTAAACTGAGCTCTGCCTGAGCAAATGCTAGGGTTAAAGTGCGTGTACTAAATTGGTAGTAGTAGTAGTAGTAGTAGTATTAATAATAATAATAATAATAAATACATATACTTGTATATAAGAGCTTGACATTTCGAATTCAATTTAGAATGCAACAATGCGGTCTATTTTTGTCATAATTTACATTTCCTGAAGTTTTTTACTAAGAATACCATTGTAAAATATGAGCAGCACTAGTTGCTCTGTGTGTATATTTACGATCATACTTATTCTCTCTTTTCTGTTTGTAATTTTATAGATTATGCAGTACTGCTGCCTCAGTTTGCCAATCAAGCTCAGTTTGGAAATATGAAGGGCAAGCCTGATATTGTGAGGCGACTATCTGGTATGTATCACTTAGTCCTTACACTGTGCAAATGTATTTATAATGCTATTATAAATTTTTCATTAGAGTGCATAATCGATGGGTAATAATATCATGATATAATATATATGATACATGTATCATATATATATATACATAATATATATGTATACATATATCATATAATAATATTAATATATGGTGTAAATTCACATTTATCGGCTTATCGGCTTTTATCTACAATCTATGGGTAGGGAGGGGTAGGGAGTAATCAGTGACTGTACATATACATGTTACGTCTAATTCCGATGTCCTGTCATGTCATACGTGAATTTCCCATGGATATTCGAATAGACATAGAGTTCCTTCAGTTGCATCCAGCCGTTATGCCATCTGTTGTGAAGCCGTTAAACCCTATGCGAACCCAATGAGCTGACTCGTGTTTCGAGAAATGATTTCCCGAAACTACGTCACACTAGAAACTATGTTTCTCACATTGTTCATTTACAAAATCGCGTTAAAAATACGTTAAAATACGTTAAAATAGAGTATTTAAGAATTTTTTTTTACCAATGCACATAGTTGAGAAATAACATAGCTACACATTACTAGGTTTAACATACGTATTTTTTGGGGGTTTGCATAGGCTTTAAACACCAGCCATGGACTAATGCCAGTTCCTTAAACTATTTCAGTGTCATTCACCCTCAAGTCTTTATCACAAAACTTCATTCACCCGTGATTAAATTTCCCTTATGTTTTTCACCCATTTTTCTTCACCCCTAAATAATTTCATTCACCCTCGTGTGAACGATTCACCAGCTTAAGAATCACTGGGTCACTAACCCCACTTATGCCCAGCTTAACCCATCTTAAACACCAGCACTGGGTCACTAACCCCACACTCTCTTGCAGTCGTGTCTGTGGAACTGTGGCCACACAAGCAGAGTCAGGTGGTGCGACACACGCTGCCCGTGCTCTGGTCACTTCTCGAAGAAGCCAGCGTTAGCGGCAACGCGGAGCTACGTTCCGCGGCGCAGGAGCTGGCCGTGCAGATGTACTCCGTGATGGGGCAGCCGCTGGTCGAGCAGGCAGACATTAAACACAAGAGCTTGCTCATGAAAATGCTCCGGTAGGTGGCTAACAACGTACGCTACTCTCCCCGGAGCCAAGCAGGCTGACATTAAACACAAGAGCTTGCCAACGTAGGTGGCCAACGTTTGCTGCATGAAGTTGAAACATAAGAAGTTCCAATGTTCGCTACTCTCCCCGGGCGAGAGTGTTGAAGTTGTTGTTGTGGCGGCCAGGTTCCTGCAGTGAACACGAGCGTGAGTGAGTCCGACGAAGCATTCACGATTCCGACAAGAATGCAGAAGTAGATGCGCCCTGATTTAATGTGTTGTTTTTGCGATACGGAGGACTGAATTGCAGCTTTCTGTACGAGTGCTGAATATGAACGAGGACTTGTTGGGAGCTTCTGATTCTGACGCAAACACAGGAGCATGTAGTGAAGAATAGTGGCTGTTCCCATACTGCTAATGCGTGTTAAGTCAAAGGTGGCTCAACGATGGAAGAAGAAATTGAGAAGGACCAGGAATGCTGTCATTGTGACAATAGACTGCACGTACAGATGAGTGTTTGGTGTGTGTGTGCGCGCGTGCGTGCGTGTACGTGCGAGTGTGCGTGACTTGTACATGTTGTATAGCATTATGCTCAGCAATTTATTAACACTCAGGCTAACAGAGTGTGAAGCAATTTCTGATGTAATAACAGCTTGCTTCAATATAGCACACGTTGCTAATGTGCACACAAAATATATTTTATTATCATAATTATTAGCCTATTTATAAATATATATATATATATATATAAGTGTGCAATACGTCCAATGTGTATACGTGTGCAATACAATATAACCCGCCGTCCATGGTATATACGAGTTATGAATTAAACTACTAGTTGCCTGTAAACGTGGCTTATTCTAGTAATTTTACCTAACGTTCTTTCGATTGTATTGTTACAGCAGTTGTGTAGTGCTGAGGTCTATAGGCCTACTGGCCCATTATCTTGCTGTAGCGTAAGACGTTTTCATTACTGCTAGTCACTGCAGAGAAGTTGTGCTTTTACTGTGTTATCTCATTGATATCCGATGAATTTGCTCAGCTCTGCCGGTTTTGTTGCAATTTTGTATGGCAACTATAAAAGATATAAACCCTCTGAATTTTTTCAGCAATTTGTCAACTGTAAAAATGCTCTACATTTCTTGTGCAATATATATAGCAACTAAATAGAATTTGAAACGGTTTACCATCTTGTTCTCCACAATTTTAGTTATGTGTTACAATCACGATGTTATAAGTTTTTAAGAAAGAAAATGCTTCTCATTTTTTTGTGAAGGACTAGTCTTAGCATGAACCTGTATATGTATATACATAGGTTCATGGTGTTAGTGCATGCAAGTGCAGGCCATGTCGTGTTGCTACTATGTTCACTTGTCCCTGGTGAATGCATGATAGGAATTATCGAAGTCTAAACGATGAACTAGTCTGTTTTTTGAAGAGGCCTTCAGCCTATTCGATGTAGTAAACGTTGCTTGTGCTTTCCTCACGCGTGATCATCTATCACATGGCTGTTATAGGCACTGCATAGCTGACGAAGATTTTGTTCGTACATTCTTCGCCGCCTATCGAATTGCTGGCATTAGCTTGTGGAAGAGCAGTGGTGTATCAGCTATTTACGAGTGTTGAGTAGCGTGTATAATGTATAGAGTCATTTTCCGAGCCAACAACACGTTACAGAGGCGTGTTATCTTAGTTTGATGAACATTCACGTATGTTCGTAGTGGCATTGACGGACTTGTAAGATTACAAGCGCACTAAAAATGAATGACCAATCCAGTTGTCTGGATGGCCGTGTAGGGAAGGCACATGTGAGTATATAGAACCTGTGGTGTCGAGTGTATAAAAGAACGAGGCACGACTCTCGCTGTCACCGTTCGTCACCCGTCTTAGATGAGATGTTATTTTTCTAGTCTGGTTGGTTTCCTGACGTATTGGCGTCAGTAAAATGAGGACTGACTATTCTGCGTCAAGGTTTGCTCTCTTAGTAATGTCATAGCGAAGTCGATGGGTTGGATTGTGATTAACTCGGCAGCGCGTGTTCAGATTCCAGATATTAGTTGTTTCTCCCATCTTCGCGTGGAATATGTTGATATGTTGATATGCTGTGGATATGTTGGGTCATGAAAAGCTATATAATATGATCAAAACTTGTCAAATCTATTTGCCGTCCATTCTGTTCAGGTTTTAGCGATGGAAAGGTGATTTATGTCAGTGTAATGAAAACCGTCCACTATTGTTCTTGTTCAGGTTTACCACATATTCGTGGTCAGATATTATTGAAACTTTCAGGCTATTGAACTTGCGCGGCGACTTTCGTAATAGTAAGTTATATTTTGAGTAAACGAAAAACGAGTTGGCTTCGGGGTTTGCCTATTCAGATATTACTAGATACTAAATAGTGTCTAGATTAGGCCTATACATGCCACAATAACTAGACACGTTCGTTCGCATCCGTTTTCTCTGTAGCAGTTGTGTATAGTTACTGTTTGTACGACATGCATTAATTGTGTATTTGTGGAAATCCGTTCCGTCCATTTCTGATATAATCTAGAAATGTTGATTGCGCTGCAATGAGTGCTATATTTTATTGTCCTCGAACCATGGTTCTATACTCTTCTTAAACAATATGTTACTTTTAGTAAATTAACTTGATAATTACTGCCTATGTGAATAGTAATAGATATCCAGTCTAGAGTTATTCCAAAGAAAGAGCTATTCAAGTAAAGGGACGTGTGTGCTTCGCAAATACTTTGCGCATATTTTTTTTCAATACGGTTGCTGATATGTAGAGAACTCTAATAGCCGATGCACTGTGCGTCGGTGTCTGTGGCAACTGTCAAAACGTTGATCAGATTCCATATCCCGTGTATAGCGCTCATTGTGCTGCCTGTCGTTATTTGTTAAAATCTAGTACAGACGAACCGTCCAGATCGTTCTTGCGCTAGTCTTCTTTCGGAGATATTTGTGTACTGACTGCGCTTGTTGACCGCTTGCCTGATGCGAGGGTGTACTAGTCTCCATTACCCCTCCCCCCATTCGGTCGGCCACCTTGACTGCAAATGCTGGCAGTGGTTTCCAGCGATTTTCACCAAGGGTCTACCTAGCTACAGAGCTAAGTCGTGAATCGCACTAACCACGTAGTGCTAAGTATCAGTGACAGGCATGATCTGGAAGAACGCCGTAGTTCGAAGTCTTGGTGTTTGTGCAGTCCCTGTCGTTTCACCCTCCTAGGTAGCTATGGTACGCCGCGTCTAGTCTCTGAGCGAGGTACTCTCGTGTATTTTTCGGCCAGCTCCGGTAGCGAGCTGGCCAGTCACAAGTGCAAACGTCTCCATCGTATGTTTAGTTATGTGAGTTTTAACCTATTTTACCACCAGTAGGGAAAGTGTTCACGTAAAGACCACATATGTGTGGTCTTTAGAAAATTTAACTGCAGTAGTTTGTTGAATCGGTGCCCCGAATGCTTGTTCGTGATGCGCTAGAATCGTCACTATATTCCTGACAACTCGATCATAATGTTGGTAAATGTCTGCTAGCAGTTTCTGCTAGTGGTGATAGCATCAGGTTAGATGGCCACTTACATTGTACACGATTTAACTTTACATGTATATATGTTGCAGCTGTTACATTTTTGAAAGCTCAATAAATGTTTGCAGGAAATTTAAGCGTAGGCCTATTATTTATTACATAGTAGGTTGTTATATGCTAAACTTTATGTTCATTAGTGCATATCACATTCAGTCTATGCCATTGCTGAGTTAATTAATGTCCAGAATGCATTATTTCTGAAAATTTAAACAAACTACCAGGCATTATATTTATACACCAGCAACAATAACCACAACAGGTATGCTATACATTTCGTTATATTCTTAATTTGTATTCATGATCTACTGTGTAGTAGTTATAAAAACAATTACAAAATATACTGCTTTGTACTAATACAAATTAGTTTGCTTTTCTAACTCCCCAAACACTATGGCCGTCTGACAGAGCCAGCTAAATTATCCACCACAATGGAAACAAGCTGACACAACCAACCCTGATAAAGCACACATAGCAATGCATACATCCATAACATTACCTAGCTTTTACTGGCATAATAAGGTCACCACGAATCTTTATACTAAGACAGGTATATTATACCTTTATGCCTCGTTCACTGTCGTCTATGTTCAGGCTATACTAGGTTGCCACTGACCTCCTAATGCAGAGCAAATGCTGTCGAAGAACTCCCTGAGAATTAAGTGATATAACAAACATGTTATGCTGTAGTGCAGACTCACCTCTTACATTCATCCACATCTTAGACTATCAAATTTTTCTGCCACAAAGACTAGTTTACCCATATTCTGCATCACAGTGACTATTAGGCTGACCTTTCTCACACTACTTCCTGCTTTCCAATCTCAATCATAAAACGCATGCATAAAAGAGGAAATGCTGGTAGTCTTACTTTAACCCAGACTGACGGTGTGAATATTCGTTTACAGTTATTTTCATCACCTGGTAGGTGTTACAGGGGCAGATCAAGAAACGTGCAAATACGTGCCCCCAAAATGTGCAGACACATGTAAAAGGGAATCCACCATGTCAATAGCTACATGGATGAGAGAAGCTCCTGTAAGCTTCCCCAGAAGAGCCCTGAACGAGTACAGGCCGCCAGCCCATTCTTTATTCTGCGTACAAATTGTTAGGTATTTGCACGCAAATGTAGTTGCACATTTGTGTGGTGGAAAAGGACAGAGGTTTGCCTGCAAAGTGTAATTTGCCTTCACCAGCCTCTTTGGGAGTGGGCTATCTGGGCATCAGCTCACAATATCTTACAAGGTATGATTAGGCCCTTATGCCAAATAAGAGTAGAGAAGTAAAAATATAGAGCCTGTAGTAATTAGAGATACTGAGTATACTATACATGTATGCTATGAGATACTAAACTATGCAATTGTAAGGTCGATTACCTTCCTTTGAGCAAGCATCAATGTATATTTAAGATTACTAGGTGAAAGAAAATAACTGTTATGAGCAGCATACAGACATTCCATATTGGTCTCAAGACCAGCCATAATTAAAAACGTAGAAAGTCATAACAGTGCAAGAGCCTCTTATCTTGCCAACACATCGGGGCAATCTACCACATGCGTGTATCACACTATTTCAACTCGTCCTCTAACACATCAGCTTTTTTTTTTTTTAAATACCACGGCTAAATCAACTACATATACCTTGGCACTCCAAGTAGAGCTCATAGGGTCTATGTCCCCCAGGGTACTGCCGGAACGTACCCTGGGTACGGTCCGGTATACCGGAACATACCCTGGTCACTATTTGATATGGTTAGGGTTAAGATTAGGGTTAGGGTTGGGGTTAGGGTTAGGGAGTAGGCATAGGCGAGTCCCTAGACTCGTTAGTGAAGTAGGCGAGGTACGGTCCGGCATATTAGATAGTACCAGGGTACGTTCCGGTATACCGACCGTTACCTAGGGTACGTTCCGGCAGTACCCCGGGGGACATAGACCCTCTCAGCCCAAGTAGAGCTGCGCCCCGTAGAGGCCGTCTAGGCCTCTTCTTCACACGACAGGACTCGGAGGGTATGCTGTGTTATATACAAAATCACTTGGGCATATTTGACAGAACTACAGAATACCATGGCAATCTGACAGGTGCGCCGTACGCAGGGTGCGAAATTAACGTGAGTCCGGAGTCAAATACTCCCGATGTACTGTCGGACTCCCTGATTTGACATATGCAGGAGTCCGTGTGACTCCCTGAAAATTCTGCCATACTAACTAGTTCGTTCCAGAGCACGGCCTCGCGGAATTACCGTATTTTTTCAGCTAATGTCCAAAGAAAATTTGGACAACGTGCAACCGCATGAATCTTAAAAATAAGCACATGCGTTATTGTTAATATCTTTAATTTTGAACTTCAGACTGCAGACTCCTCCATTTTGCTGTGGACTCCCGTGTTCAAAAGTTAATTTCTACCCCTGTGTACGTATTATACACCAAATCACTTGGGCATATTAGGCAGAAGATCGCTATCGGGGGCCTGCTCCCATATCAGCCGCTGCACCTCTCTGAACTTCGGGTGGGCCGCGTCGCAGACGAGGCCGAGCAGCGCGCTCTCGCTCGTCGTCAGAAACGCTCCGGCGTCGCGCACCCGCTGCAGTGCGAACATGCGGTCGACCATGCTGCGCGAGGAGCAGGCGTCGGCGACGACGTGCACGTCGTAGCCGCGCTCCAGGAGGTCGAGGGCCGTGTTCTGAATGCAGACGTGCGTCTCGATGCCGCACAGTATGATAGACTTCAGGTCGGGCATCTTCTTCATGTGTTCAACCACCTGAAGTTGGAATTGAAAGAGAGTGACATAGGTATATATATAATATATACAGGTACACCACCGATTTTCAGGACACTGAATGACTGATGGTCCACAACCTCTTTTAGACCGGCTAAAATTCATTTAAAATTCCTATTAGTTTACCGGGTGGCCACTGCAGCACTTGTTGGTGAGCTATTGATTTTATGCAATTAATACCTTATTTTGCTCAAACTTTACCCTAGCTATGGCTTCTAAGTTCTAAGGGGCGCAAATCCACTTTAGGCACCTTAGGTATCACGAAGTGATGCACAGATTTCTGTGTATCATCAACTGATGCACAGATTTCTGTGTATCATCAACTGATGCACAGACTTTCCGTATATCAAGGAATGATGCAAAAACCATAACCCTAACCCTAAGTAATAAAGTATAACCTTAGGTATAACGAAGTGTGTTAAGGTTAGGGTTAGGGTTAGGGTTACTGGTTAGGGTTAGGGTTTTTGCATCATTCCTTGATATACAGAAAGTCTGTGCTTCAGTTGATGATACACAGAAATCTGTGCATCACTTCGTGATACCTAAGGTGCCTAAAGTAGATTTGCACCGTTCTAAGGCAGGTCCAAGTGTCAGTGATAAAAAACAATAACAGTTAACACCACAAATAAATTTTCTACTGTCTAGCAGTGCACGGTGGCATTGGTTAGTAGCTCTAAAACTATAGGCTAGTATAGCCCTCCGCTCCGCCGCAGCAGAGGGCTATACTAAGTTCTAGAATCTAGAGCTAGGTGCTTAGGAATTTTTAGTTGCTCAGAGGTGTATTGTTGAATCCTCTTCTACGCACTAGATCTCGGCACAATTAGCATCGCAAAAAACGCGCATTACTGCTATTAGTATCGGTACCTCTGGGACTGCCATGGAGAACTGTGTTTTAGTAACCAATATAGTTTGGCTAACGTCTAGTTCTGAGACTGTGTGACCCAATCCCTTTGGATACTGCTCTGTTGTAATCACTGGCATATTCAAGATTTGTGCGCCATTCAGTAACCTTTGAGATGTTTCAATAATCGCTGGGTAATACTTTATAGTCTTTCTAAAAGCTTCTTGCATATCACACAAGAAAAGTGCAGAAGTCTTTGCGGCAATCTTGCCTAAATTCACAGCTGACATCTTGACACCTTCATTCACAGCGCCCCCTGGCGTTACGCGCGACCCTGGTGCGTTCGTGCGGTGCGCGTATGCGTGCGTGTGTGTGGGTGTAGTAACAGTTACACAGACGAAGATATTCTTAGTATATGGCAGTAATTTGCCGCAGAAGAAAGCGTTTGCTTTTCATAATAGAAGTACCAAATCGACATTTGTAGCGAGCGATATCACTGATCGTGGGGCATCATTCTGAGTTTATTATTCATTTGCATTTTGCCATGATTTTGCCCCTATCGAAATTATTTATTTGCCCGTCAGATAGCGCAACAAACGCACAACTACTCAACTACTACACAACATAGAAACAGCCTTCATTAGAGACTATGTCTTCACCGGTTTCTTTATAACTCTTTCAACAATGAAACTCCTGAACAGGTACCCGTAAGCATATCATCATTTATATTAAAGATTGATAATTTATTATCGTAAAATAAAATCTATTTAAGTGACAAGGCTATAGGACAGTCGACAAGTTGAACAAAGCAGTATTGCGTTGTTATTGTTATGTTCTCATGCATGCCGTACTTGTCGGTGGCCACTACAGTCTCCACTGGATATAATGACAAGGACTATAGCTAGCCATGAGGTGTGACCTAGCTTGGGTAAAGCCAGGTAGTCAGCCTTTAGCCAAATGGCACTGAGGGTGTTCACAGCCAGAGTTCCTTTGCGCCCTCAGTGGTTCTTTTACGTCCCCATTCGCCATTGGCTAGTATTTCTGAGACGGGACCGCCATTTTACGTGGTCATATGAGCCACGGGAGATTCACAGTCTCCAATGTTGAGAGCCAGGTTTTTACACCTTGAGAAATTTCACTGCCATGGCCGGGGTTTGAACTCGCAGCATTCAGTGGACAGTGCACGATGCCTACCACTGGGCCACAGAGGCTCGAGCTACGTTATGTGTAGCTCTAGTAGTAGTAACTAGTGTTTTCCGCGTATGGTTGCCGCTTGGCAGCGGTAACAGTACGCGGGCTATAGTTACTAGAGCTACGTTATGTGCAGATTCAGATTGAATAAACGACCTCAACGAGGATGTGACACCGTACTACCTAGCCCGACCAGGCTCTCCGACTGTTAAGCCCGGCGCACATTGCCGAACATTTTGCTCAAAAACATCGTAGCAATGTTCCATGAAATGTTCGGCAATGTGCGGTGAAAAAAGTTGTCGAACAGTTGTTCCGAACAATGTTTCTGAAGATCGGAAATGTTTGATATCTCGAACATTGTTTGTCGAATGTTCGTCAATGTGCGGTGAATGTCGAACAATTCTAGGAACATTTGTAAAGTAGTAACCAATAGCAGCACGATATGTGGTCACATAATTTTTGTGCCCAATCATGCGCCGATCACGTGACTCTTTACAACACAGCTACTAGACGGCGCCACAAGATTGTTCGCTACAAAATGTTCAGCAATGTGCGCTCAGCAATTGTCCCCCCGCACATTGCCAGACAAAAACATTTGTTCGGGAAAATGTTCGGCAATGTGCGCCAGGCTTTACACGTCGTAGGATGTGTGACGTCGTCGTACAACGTAGTGTTAAAGTGTGTATTGCGAGATTTTTGCTCAGAAAAACTAAATATAGCTGAATATAGTCTCACCTGACAGCGAAAATATCACTGATTACACCAACATTAAAAATACTAAGATTTTATGCAGCATAGAAAATTGGATATGAACACATCGTAACAGCAAAACATTTTATCGTGTCGCGATAATGCCTAATGGCAGAATTGGTAAACTTGTATTTGTGTCGGTGATTAATTGAAAACAAGTGCATGATTTGAGAAAGCCTGTACTTTGTCTATGGCAGATAAGCAGTGGCGCCACTAGCTAATCCATCCTTCCGGCTAGTTTTAAAATGACAACAATCGATTGTTTACCAAACTATTTACTTTTTGTGTGAAAACGAAGGTTCTAAGACATTTTATTGTTACTCTAGACAATTGCTGTTACTCAAGCAATAACGGTAGGTGTCATGAAAGTGGTGAAACACTGGAAAACTTTCGCAATAGTTACTTTAAGCGAGAAGTGAACTTGTGGCTACGTACTGCCCTGCCCTGCAGCCTGCACCGTGGGCAGTGCACGTATCACGAGCGAAGTTGTACACGAAATCACCATATATTAAAAAATGATGCACAGATTTCATGTTCAATTACATGGCACAGTTTAAAGTTCTCCACATTGCCACTGGCATCAGAAAAGCAATATGTTGTAATATATTATACGCAGTGGCTCGTGCTCCCGGGGGGGGGGGGACTTTCCCCACATTATCATGATTATGGTAGGTATGTGCCACTGCGAAGTCAAAAATGGGGGGCTCTGGAACTAACTCAGAGCTGAAAATGGGGGTCTCTGGAACTAATGTTTGTTGAAATGTGGGATGCTCTGGAACTGGCACGGAGTTCATCATCGGATGTAAATAAACAAGAACAGCAGCAGCAGCTGACCATCCATCCATCCATATGCGCATGCGTTGCATGCATGCCTTCACGGCCCGGTTTCAACGTATTCTGAAGTACGATGCACTGGAACGGAAATGTTAAAAACTAGCGGCTCTGGAACGGCAAAAATGTAAGATCTGTATGGTAACTAAACTTGTGATGCTCTGGAACGAGAAATTCTTAAAAATGCGATGCACTGGAACGGAAGTTTAGGGTTGAAAATGGGGGACTCTCCCGCGGCACATACCTACCATGCTATATATATGGGGTGCCCCCCACCCCCCGGGCTCGTGCTCCGGTAACCGGGGCGGAAGTTTTTTTTGGCTCATGCTCCGACAATCCCAGAATGCATTGCAAAGTCATCAAGTGAGAATTTCTCAGCGGAACGCAGAAAATTGCTGCACACGAACCTTGAATGCAATCCTGGTCTCTTCCCTGTGCAATGAACCGTTTTACTCCAAAAACACAGGCGTAGTTCACATTGTAATACTTCAAATTTTCGTTAGCATTTTCCACTCGTTTCGGTACTCTTTTCTTATCAGCATTAATGGTCCGAGAATCTTTATGGTAATATTGAACAAATGTTGCATTTTGATATCCCATCAAACACTGATATCCCATCATAGCCTGTCAAAATACGCTGCCATTTTCTGCGTCCCGCTGATAAATTCTCACTTGATTATTTTGCAATGCATTCTGGGATTGCCGGAGCACAAGCCAAAATAACTCTCGCTCCGGTGACCGGAGCACGAGCCACTGCGTATATTATATTATACTTGCACCAGGCATGACATGACACCAACACAACACCACCACCAGGCAGTTGCACCAACTTGACCAACCTGTGTAAGCATTGCTGTGGCATTGGCATTTCTCTGGAAATCTTACACTTTTTTACAGGAGGTGAAATTCTTAGAACGTATTATGAATTTTCCAGATCAGTTTGGATTTATTTGTTCACATTGTGTACTCCCCAATTTTTATGATAGTTTTTTTGCCATTGATGATTTGTCCCAGCCAAATTTTCTCTACCCCTCCTTCTGGCCTCCACTTCTCAATACCTCAATGTTCAACTCCCCTCTTAATATATTGCCAAGACCTCTCGTCCTAGGAATAAATTGAAATTTCTTTTGGGTAATATCAGTAACGTCAAAGGTAACTTGATCTCTTACCCCTACTTTAACAGGGGACTGTCTGTGTGCTCACACTACAGGAGTTAGTATATAGATCCATGGCAATGAGTGGTAGGAGAGCTACCAACCTAGTTGCTACCACCTCATGATCGACCTATCCTACTCCCTCCTTCCATCTTTGTCGTTGCACCTTATTAATCCACCACCTCCATCTCCTCTTTTTCTTTATTTGCGTTCTTCTGAAGGTCAAGACATTACAGTGACAATGACCAACCGTAATGTCTAAGGACATTGGAGAAAATAGAAACTTGCATGCGATAGCATCCGGTGGCAACCGTAATGACAAAAACTATTAAGAATCCTTTCTATTTTCCAACGACATGGTCACGAGACATTTCGTAAACAGCCAATCAGAGTCATACATTATGTTTTCATCGGCGCGCACATATAACCATTTTGTAACGGAATTCGGCTGTGAAGCTGTTGAAAGATCGTGATGGCAGACCAGTTTGGGGCTGACTCCCATGTGCTTGGGGAAATTTAAATTTTTAAAATATTTAGCTCATTTATTGTGCAAGCTTACCCACGGCTTACCCACGTAGCAGAAAACTATCCTTAGGACAAAACTACAAAATCAATGGTAAGCCCATGGAACATTCAACAGTCTTGAGTTTACAAACTTCAAATGTCAACCATTGTGTAGCGATAAAAAAGACTAACTGTGATCTAACGCCGGTAATTAACGCCTGCAGTGTAGCTGAGGCCAGTCGTTAACGCGTGCAGTGTGGCTGGGGTCTGTCGTTTTCACACCTGCAGTGTAGCTGAGGCCAGTCACTGCAGCTTTGACTCTGAACGTTACGGTTGGTCATTTGTCGTTGCAGTGTGTCAAGATTTACCTTGACTCTTCCATTCACACTCTAATTTCCAACAACAGTTGCTGTTATAAAAAATTTATATATGAATGAATGAATAAATAATCTAAAAAAAACGTCATCGATGACGTCGCGAGAAAAAGGTTGTTGTCTTTTTGTTCATTGACCTTCCTTGGTTAAGGTGAATGCACACTGCATTAGAGAAGCCTACAACTAACGCAGCTACTTTCCCCTAGACACATGCCAACCCGTGTGTACAAATGGATATGTTTCAGCGAACATGGGCTATGTTCAAAAATAGCTCCAGCCTGCCCCATGACTCGGTTGTGCATCACGCAAAGCTCTAGATGCATACTGGTTCTATATAGTCCCATCATGGTGATTTTACTCATTCTAAATGCGGATGTGTCTACGTTATTCCGAGCTCTACTAATGTAGGCCCTTCGCTCTGGCTACAGTCCTCCTGTAGTCGGAGTGAATGGGCTACACCGGTAGAGCCACGTTAGCTCTTTATTTATGTGTGATGCGATGTACCATGACAAGAGCAAGTTAGACAGCTTCTTACTCTTAAGTGAGGATCCAAAAATGCCTGACTTGCCAAGGTGTAGACCATTTTTGATGTTGTTCACTTCATCTTAATGACATCACGTATATGTCTTATGCATATCTATGTAATACAGAAATAGTCAAATAAGATAGAAATAGGATAATTGCATAATAACCTAAGTAATCAGAGTACGGGGCAAGCCTTTTGTGTAAACGCGCAGCTGACCTCGTACGCTACCATGCACTATATGCAGCTGAACCATGCAGCGTGACCAGAACCTAAAACAATAGGAGGGCGCAGTATATAACCGTTGTGCATGCAGCACGGCGCAATGGCAGGCTCTCTACTATTTACGCTACGAACGTGGCAAGAGATATTCTTACTGTTTTCACCGTTGACGAATACTACTATATATATGTAAGTTCATGTTTGTATGTCGCGTACACAGCTGTACACTACTGTTCACTATTACGGGCATATATATGTTACCGTCATTCCCGACCAGTAAATATGTGTGTGTTTGAAATACGTACCTTCAGTGTTGGCTAATTTATGTAGAATGCGTACAGCGATATCTCTTAATAATATGCGCAGAACCCTAGACGATCACGGGTAACGAGATATAAATAGAGAAGCAGTATTACAATATATAAATAGAGAAGCAGTATTACATCTATAGAAGTCTCTGTACTGCTGCCCAAAAAGAACGATTCCAAAGAATCATGTTATGCATAGAGCCCTTTACGAGGTACTTTTTGTCATGCATTGCATTTATCTTGTTTAATTTCATTATTTTGTTTATAGTTAGTGTTAGTATTTTACTTTCTTCTTCTCCTCCTCCCCCTTCTTCGTCTTCTTTTTCTACTCTGAGAGGAAACCCAGCCACATACAGGAACTTTTAAGAGTTCACACAGAATATTAACGGACAATGGTAGGTGTAGTGCATAAAAATGATACAAATTGAATCTGTATTATCACTTTTTGAGTGTTGTTTTGTAGCTAGTTAGTAAGAATGGCTCATCCTATGAAAGGCTTCCCCCCTCCCACATTCCTAGAGCCGGATTTTGGGTGATAACATATAACGTCAACGAGACAGCAATGTCGCAGTTTGATGTTGAACTTGTTTAGACGCCATGTTAGCAGCCCTTGCGCTCATGAGTATGGCCTATGGCTGTTATGTAACCGGTGTTAGGCACCTCGCAAGTAGTGTAAACGTGTCTATCGATATTCCGTCAACCACTTGGTAAATTACTATGGAGCCAGAGACTTCTCTGTACTAGACCTTCGGACCAATCTGCCGGGCACATGTACACCTCGCTGTGACTCAGATTGTTGTTGGAATAGTTTTATGATACGTTTTTATTGGTACGGTACTGTCGTGATGTGCATCCTTGTATACGATTAGGTTTGATATCAAACTTGATTATAAATGGGTTAATGACCACCAGAGCCAGATTTAGACATGGTGTGGCCCTAACCTATGGGAAGCTGTAGAGTAAAATTGTGTAAATAATTATCTTTTTTGATAATTGGGTCTAATTTGATCATGTTAATTGTTGTTAATTAGGTTATGTTAATTAGGTTAAATCATTACTTGAATATAAATAATCGTAAAACTGTAACAAATGAAAAAATTTGACGTTTTGAGAAGCCCTTCAGATAATGCGGCCCTAAGCTTCAGCTTGTTTAGCTTAAATGTCTAAATCTGGCATTGCTGACTACAATTGACTACACTTTTTGGCACATTTACGGCATTTTTCGAATTAGGAGAAACTCAAGGTAAGCATTTCAGTTGGTAACTTATTCTCATTTTATGGAAACCTTCCGTTAAGCTCATGCATGTATCAGCACGAGAATACCTTTACTTCTATAGTATTTGAAATAACTGTATTGATATCAGATGCTAGTATTGTGCAGGAGGAAATTATTATTATCCAAGTAACGTTGCGAGGGGCGCAATTTTCATCAGACTTGACTCTGCATAGTAAATTCGCACAAAGCATGGTCGGGGGTTATTTAGACTATTTAGGCTCAAGGGGTCGTTGTCATATCAGGTACTACAGATATATGTATCCGAGGTACATATATCATGTATACACAAAGTGTACCAGACTTGTACTACAGAAGTGTACCCTAACCCTAACACTAACCCTAACCCTAACCCTAACCCTAAACATACCTCATATAAAAATATAAACATAATACTAACTAGAGCACTCGGAGAGCACAGACCTCCGCCAAGGCAGCTGAATTCTCTCAATGTGAATTTTTTTATTAATTAATTAATTAATTAAGGTGCGAAAAATTAATTAATTAATTAATTAAATAATTTATTGGATCCGGATTAGTGCGACGTGCAGGTGGGGGAGGACTGTGGTTGCGTGTTTGTAAGTCTACAGCCAGCGCACCTAGCGGAAGTGAACTGAAACGTGCATGGTAACACACAAACCAACACTCAAAACCACTGCCGTGTGAAAACATAACCTCCGCCAAGCCCCTGGCGGAGGTAAACAGCCTAAAACTACCTCGGGTACATATCTGTAGTACCTGATACGACAACGACCCCATCTGCGTTATTTAGCTGTAGCTGCTGCGGGCGCACGCGTTTTGTGTACCAACCTTCACGATCAGCGTTCACACTTTTGCTCGTTAGCTGTTGGCCATGCGCGAACAGTTTGTGCCTTTGCCCTTTATAGCCGATGGCTGTGCTGACATTTTTAGCCGTAAAATAACAGCTGTGTAACGCTATGGAAAGTAGCACACTCCGGCTTGTTTGTGATTGGGCGACGGCGTGCACACCCTCGCTACTGACACAACCGCTCGCACTCACATAATCCGATGGCCTGTTCGTCACGCGACTCGCAAGGCCGACTGCGATGCTTTGGTTTGTTCACGGGCTGGTGAGTCGGTTGCGCCCCCCTCACGTGGAGAAGACGTAGAGGGACGGATGGACGATGATGCAAACGAAATATCTGTGCGGTAGCGCGCCCGTGCTCGCGTCTATACATTGCCGACGCAGCAATCCTGTGTGATGGGTAGGAGTGCCGCTGCTGCTGCTGCTGCTGCTGCTGCTGCTGCTGCGTGATCACATCGTTCGGCGCGGTTGCGTCATCTTTCATGGTAACAGAACAATAGTAAGGTAAATAGACGCGTTCTAGTTCTGGCTGTTGTGGAATGCAATGCAAATCTGCGAAGCGGCTGCGTGCAGGTAATGCTGGTAGTTTCTATAGGCAACGGATGTGTTTGTCGCCGTCAGAAAATGACTGGTAAAAGTGCATACATGTATATATGTACGCGTTGTGTTATGTCAATATATATAGACTATATTATGACACTCCTGGTGTTATGTGTAGCGTGTTCGTAGCCGAGTTACGGAAAGGCTGCATCCTTGAGCAGTCGGCTGAAACGCGAACCATACCCCCCAACGCTTGCTTTTTACTGTAGTTGTATCTAAACTAGTGGGAATCGCCGATTGGGGGCGAATGTCGGGCTCACATCGAGAATCGAGTAGACAAATTCCGTATGTGCGAATTTCCGCAATGTGAGTAACCGTACATTTTTTAATTAATATAGCTCCTTCATGATCTTGCAGTGCAAGCAAATGATGGTTTATCATTGTATATGAACAGACCCAGTCGAATTGATAACAGGAGATAAAAAAAAGTTCACAAATTCGAATTATCAGTTAGTTTCTTCCTTTGCGTGGACAAATGATGTAGCTGGGCTTTTATCAGGGGTCAGCCAGGGGCCAGGGATGGGTTGTATGTAGCAGCTAAGCGATTTATATGCTTCAAGGGTACATGTACGAATGTGGGCACATGTTTATTATTTGGTGTGAAGTTAGAGAAGAAGAGATGTTTAATAACATTGATTATCACCGCTATTAATTCTTATTTATTACAATTTTTACTGTGGTACGTATATATTGTTTTACATAATTTGTTGTATTTTTTGCATTAGCTTCCAATAACTTTGTTTGATATCCCTAGGTCATGATGATTTCCTTCCAGGGTTTACACGAGCACACACACGCACACGCACACGCACACGCACAC